AAGTATTATTTTATATTTAGTCGATGTAAATCAAACTGCTGCTGCGTTTATTTAATTTTGTCAGGTTTTATAATGTTTAGGTGTTCATATATTTAAATACTTTAATTTACACTTAACATTGTTTTTTTTTTATTTAAACATAAAACGTTGGTATAAAAGCCGGCGGGTTTATTTAATTTAATTCAGATTAAATCATCCTCGTTGAAAATGGAATATTTTATTAGTGCCGCCATGTTTTCTGAGCCAGAAGCTCAGAAATACGTAGGGCTGGACCCTCGACAAGTCCCGCCTACAAACCCTCCGAACTCTGACAAGCTGTCAATCAAAGCAACACTTCCTTAAACGTCTTCAGTAACTAAATAAAACATTTTAAAAACTACATTTGATCAAACAGCTCCAGAGARCTGGAATAAAAAAATGTTTTCACGTGGCCACGAGATAATAAAAAACAGTAGAAAGGTAAGAATCAAAAATAAAGACATCCTATTTGTTTATGTGAGGGGGCGTGGCCTAAAACTTGTTCTGTAGCCAGCCACTAGGGGGCGCTGATCCTCCTGGTTGTAGTTTTAAGACTTGACGCGTTTCAAAAGTCTAAAAGATAAAGTTTTTCTTCMTGTCGATCCAGGAAACATCAAAATATTAGAACAATGTTTAAATTTATATTTATCTGTTTAAACTTAAAATCAGTTTTTAATAAAAACTTTATATTTGATGTGAACCAGCTGGAGCTCAGATGAGCCTGAATTATCTTTTCATTATTTTCTGAGTCATTTCTCCTTCGAGACTTTCTTTAAGCCTGGATGAACGCATCACATTTAGAGGAAAAAAAACTTTACAGTATAAAAACTGAACTTTGGTTTTATTCATAAAGCTGTTTTTAACCTCTGAACTGCTGACTTGATTTGAATACGGAGCCTTAAAGTGAAGGAGTTCACCTCTGAATCTGAACAAAAAGTGCAAAATGAACAAAATTCAACATATTCTGAAATAAAATCAGCTAAATAATCCTCAGAAATAATTATGAGATGTTGTGTTGGACCACAGCTGCTCCTCTGACCTGACAGAAAAACACTTCAGTAAAACGTTCGGTGTAACTCCACACTACCRGACTTGTTTTGAATTGTAGGAATGTTCGGCTGATCTAAAACCAAACGAGTTCAGGAAAAAAGTTGATAAAATTTCYATCTAAAACTGGTTCTTCCTAAAAATCTAATCCCGGGTTATAAATTTGATCATAAGAAGCTCATAAAGGACAGTTAGTGTCTGCAGAAGATCTGGTCCAGTCTTTAAAGATCCTTGTAAAACTCAGACTCCACGGTTTGTTTCATGCAGCCAAAGTTTACGATTCAACTCTCAAATGTCATTTTATTAAATCTGGAAACATCTGTCAACTCCTAGACTGTTTGTACGACTCATTGTCTAAATCTGTTTCATGTATTTTATGTTTATTTTCTTTTCTACAATGTAASTTTTGAGTGAACTACCCTGTGACGAGTGCTGCTGACCTCTTGACCAGGTCAACCTTGGAAAACAGATCTTGGTCTCAGTGGTTCTACCTGGTTAAAGAAAAGTGACTGATTGATGAGTAAATTAACCAAAACTACTTTAGTTCAGACTGACAGCTTCAGACCTGGACCCGTTCAGACGATACAGATTTTTATTAGTCTGCAGTTTGAGCAGGACCTCCTCACAGATCCTACAGAACTGTCTGAGCTCAGGTTCATTTCCCGGCTCCAGATTAAATCTTCAGTTTGTTCAGCTTCAGATCAAATAAATTCAGCTTCAAAGCTCCTGAATGTTCAGGCCGAGGAACAGAAGGACTTTTATTTTGACGTTTGTTCTTCTTTGTGATCCCGGCTCTGTTCCTTTAAATTTGTCTTTCTGCTCATGGTTTCTTGCTGCTGTTCTCAGGGGAGCTCCATGCCCTGCATGACAACAGATGGAGCCCTGAGGCTCTGGGACCGAGCGCACGGATCCAGCAGGGGGAAGGGTGGGTGGGGTGGGGGGGGCTGATGTCAACATCAGGACGAGTTCTGTGTGAATGAATGAAGATATGAACACATTCACATTCAACTGATCTGACTTGATTTTAAACTAAATGAGAGCAGTGTTCTGCTCCAGCAGGWGTGTCCACTCGTCTCAGGAGGACATCTGGACAACATCGGATCTCTGGTTCTGAACTGTCCTGGAGCAAGACTCTGACCCGGTTCTGTTCAGGACTGACGTCAAATATGACTTTCCTGCAGCTGGAGCTGCTCCATCACACATAAACAAGACACATGGACATGTCTCAGTCCACCACAGAGACACATGGACATGTCTCAGTCCATCACAGAGACACCTGGACGTGTCTCGGTCCCTCACAGAGACACCTGGACGTGTCTCGGTCCCTCACAGAGACACCTGGACG